GGGGCTGACATTGGATCTAGGTTCTCAAAGGTTGCTGAATGAACATATTCATGCAGTTTAGTTATTTTCTACTCCTACTGTTTTCCCTCATATTATAGCAACAAAGGCACTCTGAAGAAAGTATTCTTTTTCTCGGCATTCAATTCTGTTTAGCAGCAAAAGTAACCAGTAAACTCAAAATAGTAAAATAACTCCCAAAGTAGTGCTACAACCACCTAGAAGCTAACCTCACATGCTAAAAACAGACTAAAGAGTCACCCTGAGCTAAGCCCTAATATACTCCATGTTTTGAACTTTGAGCCTACACTTCTAGGCTTTATACAACACCATAATCACTTAGGAACCTAAATGATATGCATATCCAACTGCCAACAGCACAGGTTCTGACCCAGACTACCCGGTTCTTATCTTACTTCCACCACTGACCAGCTGCATGCCTTGATCCAGTTACTTAATTGCTTTACACCTCAGTTTCCTTATCTGCAAGATGACATTTGTCGACCTCCCAGAATAAATGATTTAGCATATGTGAATGCTCCCAACGGTGCTTGGCACATATTATGTACTGTTCAGTAGTCATTCGCTTGTATTTTACCTACTAATTGAGAGACTGGCATAGCTCAGAAGCAAAGACAAGAAAGCATTTCTGGGGGTTTTCTAGTTACCCTGTTACCCTTTCAGAATCACAAGATTCATGTCTAATATTGCCAGAGGTTTGCCAAAGAGACGCCATCTTCCAGGCATCCTCTAAGGCTCCAGGGGCTTGTATCTCCTACACAGCACCTATGCAGTGTGAGCAAAGACTCCTTTCTCTCCTTCTGTACTAGTTTAATTTCTAAGGATTCCTGTGTCTGTAGCGATTATTCCATGAGAGCTCCCTGTGTGTACTCCCCACATGAATATTTTAAGTAAAATAACAAGAGACAAGTTTAGAAACAATAAGAGTGCTTCCTGAACATGGAGTGGACCTAGCAGAAGCACACCTGCAGTTACCGGAGACTCCAAGGAACACACTGCTCACCCCACCACCAGCTAGCTGAAGAATATCTGAAAGCACTTGGAAGTTTTTGAGTAAACTTCCTTTGAAATGCAAGGTTAGCTAGAATCCTAAACTTTTAAGGCTAGAACATATCACTGCTCATTGTATAGAGACAAACCATCTAAGGCCCAGGGACATAGTTTTTCAGCTCCTGCTTTTTCATGGAAGATCTTCTAGCACTGCCTTCCACCTGCCACCTTTTGCCATGGTAAATAAAAGTGCTTTTAAAAATAAAAATCTACCTATGTTTACTGACATGTTTTCCAGCTGCATTTATCATTCAGCTCATTCACTTGGAATGTACAGACAGGAGGGCCAGGCCCATGCCAAGTAGGCCTCTAGTGACAGTTTCCCTTGGCCCAGCCTCCCCAGGCCCCCTGTTCTTCTCTAGCATGCTTAAGACCTTTCTATGTAAGTTTGCATTGGCTGCCTCTTGTACAAGGATAATCTCCAAGAGGGCAGGAATTGGGGCCTATTTTTCCCCACAGCCACATCCCTAGCATCTAGAATTATACCTGATATCCAGGCGTTCACAATGCACTGGATGCCAATTGCCCACTGTCTATGGGATAGTCCAGAAGGAAAACAAAAAACAAAACAAAAAAAAAAAACCAGATTGCTGGTTTCCCCAGCTCCTACTCCTGGCATCCTTGGCAACATAAACCACAGCCATCCTGTCTGATGAGTCCTTTAACCCATTTAGCCACAGGCAGGAGAGAAAGGAAAAGTTTCAGAGCAAAGGATTTAATCATGAAGTCAAACCATACAGAATCATGTCAAGACTCCAAACCTTACTATTCTTGGAGGTGAAGTTCTGACCTAATGCTTCGCATGGATGGCCATTCTCCTAGCCAAACACTCCACTATAAGATACACTCTTTTAAGGAATTGGTTTCAATTTTTTAGGCGTTTTCAGTCTTTTCAGAATATTTGTGGACACATTTGTACAAAAAAAATCAGAAAAATCAGAAAAAAGGATCCTCTTTGCAAATAAGCCTATCTTACATTTCAAATGGATACAAGAAGCACCTAAGTTAATCATTTTATTTAATTGCATAAATATCCTGCCACTTATTGGGGGAAGAGGAAATGAAAACAGGGATGGAAAGGTAGGAGAATGGATAACCACCACCAAAGGTGGCAAACAGATCACCTGAAGATCAACCCACAGAAAATAGGAAGTCCTCCCAGTAAGCAGGAAGTCCTCCCAGTAAGCAGGAAGTCTTCCCAGTAAGCAGGAAGTCCTCCCTGTAAGGCTCTCACATCAAGCCACTGAGTACTTCCCATTTATCCTTCCTCCACTGTCACCTCTCTCAATGAATGATAACCCAGCTGGAACATATTCAAGTATAAAATGGTGACTTTTTTTTTTAATGACGGGCCTTTCAGAGACACAATCAAGCAGCCCAAAGGCTTCCGAACCATCCCACACATTATGCCTAGAGCTCCTTTCCTCGCTCACTGCAGCACAGGCACCACTGCCTTTCTGCTCGTCACGCTACGCCCAGAGCCTGGCACTCAGCAGGCACTTCACATGTACACTGGATAAGTGCCTCTGTTCATGAGTTTTTGTAACTTCTCAAGATTGATCAGCTTACCTTCCAAAAGCCCATAAAACCAAAATAGGGCAGCATCCATGGAACCAGACTACAATGTGGTGCCAGTCACTGCCCACTGCCCAGAGCAGTCTACTGCCAACCAAAGCCCACATTCCATCAGAGTCCAGATGAGCAGTTTCTCCCTGCAAAGTACTTCACAGCCCAAAAAGATAAATACTGCCCCCTGCAACCAGTGTGTCAAAATGCTATCTTAGAAAAAATGCTTCCTTTCCACTAGTGAAAGCTACTCTTAAAAACAAAAATGAACTGACCCTAAATCAGAAACATAATTGAGAGTAGATCGCTAAACTCTGTCAATCTTTGCAGGCTTTATCTTGCCAATCACTTAAGTAAAAGGAGCATCATCCAGAGCTCTGGAACAAATACAGTTCCTTCTGGAAGGGTACACAGTTTAAATTACTATAACGTGCTGCACACCAACACACCCATTAATAAACTTGAGGCTCGCCTCTCCTCGCCCTATAAGTGAAGGCTTTGAATATTTTTTTAAAAACCTTGAAAAGCCCAAAGCTTTTCTTTTCTAAACTCCCTCTCACCCCCTTCCCAAATCTCTGCATTGGCCAGTCCTCCAGGATAAAATGAAGAAATGGGGGTAGGGATTTGTTTCCTCTTTACGTGGCTTAACCCACTGAGTTGGCCAAGATGCTGGAGCAACACTCTTGGCTCTTTTGACCTCGCCCCTCCCCCAAGAGAAAGGCGCCGCGACGCAGCCACCCCATCCCAGCATCCGAAGCCCTCGCAGCAGAGGCGGCGACCACAGCCTCTAGAGACAAAGTTCTGTAGTGCACTGACTTCTATCATACTCAGAGTCGGAGTGTCTCAGAACTTTGCCTCAAAAGACCAAATAGGCTGTCTTCCTCTAGAAGTATCCTCCTGCAGGTGTGCTACCCCCATCCCCGGCCAATAAAAGAAAACTCGTTACAAGCAATTTAGCTCAGGATGCGACCGATAATGGAGCGGGTCATTAATTATGGAAAGTTACTGCGGCAGTCAGCAGGAGCGAATGCCCAACAGAAATGGTGTTCTAACTGCACGGAATGACAAATTCTGGTCTCAATGTCACAGCAAATGGATGCTGGAATCACACACTCTCCCCTCCTTCCTCCCACCCCCAGATTAGAACCCATTCCTGATCGAACCCCGCCTCCTAGTTCCGTTAAACTTTTGCAACAGCAAACTTTATCTAACTTATGACAACTTTTTACCTTCCCATCTGGAAAGTTGGTGAAGATGGGGTCTACATGAGGACGAATTCCTGACCTGACAGACTTTGGAGGAGGGGGGAGTACAGGCCTGGGAAGGCCCTGCAGACCGGACAGCGCCTCCCCTTCCTTCAGCTTTTCTCACCACCCTAGTCCCGTTCTCCCCGCAGTCTGCGCCCAAGCCAGGGAACTCGGGAAATCGCGTCTATGCAGCCCGGTCCCCTCCGCTCCACCCACTCATTCCTCCGGATTCTCTCCGCCCCGCGGAGAAGAGCCTTCTGCGGAACCCACCCGCACAAATCGTCCCCGGTGCACACAGCCCCAGCACCGGCCTGGGCTCCTCGCCCCTCCCTGAGCCCCTTCCCCGGCGGCGTCGCCGACCACCCTCCCCCCCGACCCGACGAACCCCTCCCCCACGCGCCGCACCCGCACAGCTGTTGCACCCATGCAACAGGTCCGAAAAGTGCCTTGCCACGTTCCCCGCCGCCACCTCGCCTCCGTCCCGTCCCCCACGACCCCAGGAGCCCCGGCCGGCGCGCAGGGGCTGCCTCTCCGGCCGGGGTGCACAGGCGGCGGCCAAGCGAGGGGCGTCCAGAGGCTCCCGGGCGCGGGCGGTGGTCGCGCTCGGCCTGCGGCGGCCCGGACACCCTCGCGAGTAGCCCCTGTCGCGTCCGCCGCGGGCTCCCCAGGCTGCCCCTCGGGCGCCGGCTGCCAAACACTCCGGGGCCGGGTCCCCCCTCGCACTCCGCTCCGCTCCCTTCCATCTTGACTTTTGCCGACGTGGAAATTTTGGGTTTGGAGACGACCTGCGCTCTTATTGGCTGCCGGCGGGCGGGGTCGGAGGTCACGGCTGCTCTCGCTATTCCGCGCCAAGGGGAGCCGCACAGCGGCTCGTGTCAAGTCAGCAGGTTCCCTCCGCCTCCCCCGGGGTCACGTGCGCCCCGGGCGGGGCCCGGAGCCGCCTCTTTATGCAAATACCCCGTGCGCGGGGGCCCGGGCGGGGGCGC